TTATAATTAAAAATAGTAATTTTTTTATTGATTCATAAAGTATAGGGTTATGTATGGAATAGCACATCGGGTCAATGGCCTCCACGGCTTTCTGGCACATCCGCAAACCATGGTCTTCATTGGTCTTCATTGTCCCTGCTCCTGGGCCATCATTGGTACTTGGTCATGCTTATCGAATGGAAGGGATTGAAATCAAAGGGCAACAGATATTAGAATCTGATTCAATAAACCAAGTAAAATTAGGCTTTTATTTTTTGTTGTTGTTGTTAATGCTCACGCAAAATTCCAATCTTGCGTGAATTTTGGGACACCCTGTACATCTTGTCCTGAAAGTCAATGTGACCAGCGTTTGAAAGTCCGATCGCACCCACCCACCCCCGGGACCCAGGGCCTCTCTGGCCAGGAGCCGCTCAAACCTCTCCTTTAAGTCGGCGTTTTCCTAACAGCGCTGCGGATGAGGGCGGCTTCTGTTCCTCTTAATTTCCATATTTTTGCAGCGACCTGGCTGAGGGGGTCATGTGTCTCTGAATTGGTGACAGATGTTGACAGGACTCTGTCCACGTATTTCCTAAGTGGCTGCATCGCACTGGCTGTGACGGCCCCGATCGGACAGCGTCGAGCTCCTCTAAACTGAGAAATCAGAAAAAGGGGTTTTGCGGAGCAGGAAGCCTGATCTAACTGGTTGTCTTTTAGGAGCAGTTGACATGGGGAATGTTCTAGTGTGGTGGTTCTCAACCTTCTGGCCCTTTCAATACAGTTCCTCATGTTGTGACCCAGCCATAAAATTATTTTCGTGGCTACTTCATAACTGTCATGTTGCTACTGTTATGAATCGTCATGTAAATATCTGATATGCAGGATGGTCTTAGGCGACCCCTGTGAAAGGGTCGCTCGACCGCCAAAGGGGTCGCGGACCCACAGGTTGAGAACCACTGTTCTAGTGAGAGTGACTTTGGTTTTGTAATCAACATCATTCTGATAGGCTGCAAGGGAACCTGTATCAGGAACTTTAGCTCCTCTTTGTTCAATTTCACTCTTCCCAGTTTCCCGGCCCCTGAACAGGATGAAATAAAAATGGACATTTACTGAGCCCCGACTCTAGATCGGGAGGCATTCTGCTGGGTCACCGTTTATGTTACGGCGACCTGTTACTCCTTATGAATTAAAGGGGGGGGTATTGCCTATGTCCCACGCGCCTGAAGACACATACTTGATCCGTGGCCGTCCTGGGCGGGTTTGTGTCTCCCGCAGACGCCGCCCACCTGATGTGGTTCGAAAGGCTCTACGTGCGGCTGCAGTGTTTTGAAAAGTACATCCTGTACCCAGCCATCATCCTCAACGCGCTCACCATCGATGCGTTCTCCATCAGCAACTACCGGCGGCTCGGGACCCAGTAAGTGGGCGATGGCTCATCTCCTCCCGGCGGGGCTCACGACCTTGGCGAGACCCAGTGAACTTTCTCTGGACGGGAGGTCGGCTTCGTGGGGTGTTCCCCACCTCGCAGAGTGCAGAGCTGGGCGGGTGGGCGTTTGCAGAGCAGCCAGGGTGCCGACGGAGGCGGAGCTGGAAGTGGTGTTGGGAATGACTGTCGTCGGGTTTGGGAATCATCCTGCAGCGTAGACAGTGAGCGCTCACGGGAAGGCGTGAGGCCGGGGCTCCCCGAGTCCCTGCCTCGTGTCACTTCATTCAGCAAGTGCACTGGCGTTCAGTGCTGGCGGGGTGTCACTGACGCGCCCCCGGGGCAGAAGCACCGACCGTGTGCAGTCGAGTCACTGGTTCCATTCATGCAGATTAACTCTGGGTTCACAGACGGAAATCCACCGGATCATGTGTGGATTTGTCCTTCTGCCCGAGGGGTTCTGGTCCAGTGAGCTGTTGGAGGAGGAGGCTGGGAAAGACATACTGTCCCAGATGTGCTCGGGAGTCACGTGGCTCAGACATTACGTGCCCAAGTCAACCCTGATGCCTGATCCCAGGCGGGCGGGCGGGGCCACTCCTGCTCTTCCTTTCAGGGGGGTGAGGATGGATCCGGAATATCTGCCAAAGGCCGAGCAGGCTAAGCCCCAAGGCCTCTGGGTCCTGGGATCCGAGCAGGTTCCTGGTCACGCGCGGCAGACACTGACATGCATGGCCCCGTCACCTCCTGCCCGCCTGCCTCCCGGTCCAGACCTGGCTCGGGGAGGCCAGGGCAAGAGGCCCTGTCATTGGTACTTAGGATCCCAGGCTTCGGTCGAGGGGTGACAGTGAGCCTCGCAGGGTAAGGAGGGCGGACGCTGGGACTGCGGAGGCCTGTCGCTGCCCTAGGCCTGCAGATAAGCTCCCGTCCTTCCGAAGGAGGGGGTGATCCAAGGCCTCGGGGGGCCATGGAGGCGTCTCGAGGGGCAGCCCCTGCTGGGGATCCCTTCGGGGCTGAGTGTAATCCCAGCTCCGCCCGCGAGCACTGAGACAGGGGACCCCAGTCCCCGAGACGCCGGTTCCTGCTCTGTCAGGGGAGGGTGGTCCCCGATTGACCAGGTGCAGAAGGTGCAGGGGATGCGAATTCTGTGAGCCCTGGACGCCGGCGCGGCTCACCGTCCTCCGTCTCCGCCCGCAGCTGGGACAGCTTCCTGCTGATCGTGGCGGGCATGAAGCTGCTGCGAGCCTCCTTCTGCCACCCCGGGCGCCAGTTCGCGCCCCTGGGCTTCGCCGTCCTCTTCTTCCACTTCGACTGCAGGGGCCTGTCCGAGAGCTTCCTGCTGGACTTCTTCCTCGTGTCCATCCTGTTCAGCAAGGCAAGTCCTCGGCCCTTCCCTTCACTCAGTCTCCAAGGTGCATTTCTTACCGGATGGCCTCTTCCTTGATTTTCTGACGCAGTTGGTAAGTCTTGCACTAAAGTTGAACCACATGGCCCGGCCGGAGTGGCTCAGCGGGTAGAGCGTCAGCCCGCGGACCAAAGGGTCCCGGCTTTGATTCCGGTCAAGGCACGTACCTCGGTTGCAGGCTCCTCCCCGGCCCGGGCCCTGGTTGGGCTCATGCAGGAGGCAACCAGTCGATGTGTCTTTCTCACATCAACGTTTCTCTCTGTCTCTCCTTCTCCCTTCTACTCTCACTAAAAATCAGTGGAAAAATATCCTCGGGTGAGGATTAACAACAAGAAAACAAAAACCAAAACAAAAATAGACAGAGAAGAAAAGGCTAAATAAAACCCAAAACAAGAATGGGGACCGTGTATCAAAGAGAAGTTGGATGTAAAGGATGAAGGAACTGGAAGGAAGGCAGAGCGCTGCATAAACCCTATTATTATCACATTGCACCCCAAGAACAAGGTAGCTCTCTCTCACCATCACCTGATTCTTCCCGTGGACGTCCACCCTAGCCTCCTTCAGGGGACCCACCCCTGACCCCGTGCACAGCCAGAAACGCTCACCAGTGCAGGATTCCATGTAACCCCTAACTCTTGGGGGTTTCCACGGGACCTGTGAGAGGTGTGCACTCCTGCCTCCTGGCGGTTGTAACATGCCCGTGTGCCCTGGTGGCTTCATTTGCATGCACGGATACGCTAACGAGCAGCTATGAGCTAGGACCCTGGCTGAGGCTTCCTGTCCCATTCCGTTGGGGTCTGAATCACCTGGCTGCATAAGGCCGGCTCATCAAGACCGAGGTTGTCGCACTTCCCTCATTAGCTCCCACTCATTTGCCTAAGTAGCTCTCTCCTGCTGGGCGCGCTCCTGCCCTCTGCAGCCCCCTTTCTCTTTTTCGTTACAATTTTCCAAAGTGCACTTCACGGGTGACAAACTGTCACCCTGGTGGCTCTCTCCTCTCTCGGTGTTTCCTGCCCTTCAGGTTTTATTTCCACTTTATTGCAGTAGGCTAATCAGGTTCCTACTGCTTGATACCTCTTGCCTGAAAAATTCTGCTGTGGTTTTGCATTTATTAGTAAATATGGTGTTTACTGCCATATAGCACTCACAGTCTTCATCAGGCTTAAGGAAAATGCTTTTATTACTGAGTTTCAAGGGGCTTTTTGTGAGTGAGTTGAATTTATTTTCCAATATTCTTCCTGCATTCATTGAGCATCATAAGGTTTTTCTTTTTTTACTTTTTTTACTTTCTTCATTTTTAAAATATACTGACATTTCTTCTAATGTTAAAACATTATGGGATGAACCAAACTTGATCATATTTTTGTACATTTATAGATTCATTGTGTAAACATTTTATTGAGGAATTTTGCATTTATATTAATAGGTGAGAACATGTGTATTATTCTTGTTTACTTTAATATGAAAGAATACTCTCCCAATGTGAACCGTGAAGTTTTTCTATGATGGACACTTGAAGGCTATGTATTTTCCTCTATAAACTGCTTTAGCTGAGTCCCACAGGTTAGGATTGGTACTACTGCTTTTCACTGTCATTCATTTTTAAATATTTTGTCATTCTGACTACCATTTACTCTCAGTTAGTTCAGGGTTGTGTTTGTTGTTATATCCAAATGCAGACTTTGTGGTTATTATGGCTATTGCTATTTTTCCCTCTTTTTACTATTAACTTCTAATTTAATTGCAAAGAGATTTGCATGGTATCATTTTTTTTAGCCTGGGTTAAGACTTCTTTTTTTAGTTTAGGAAGTTATATCTTGTAAATGTACATATGCTTGAAAATTATATAATTCTCATCGGTTAGCTGCAAGGTTCTAATATACGTATCTCTTAGCTAAAGCTTATCGATTCTGTTGGCAAGCTATTTTATGTGATTATTTATTAAATTATCATTTTCTGAGATGTATGTCTTAAACTCTCTCCCTATTATAATACATTTGTTCATCTTACCCTAATCTTGTCCATCTTTGTTTTTGATATCTTGCAATTATGTGTTCAAGTATATTCATTCCAGTTATTTTATCTTTCTGGTGACTCTTCCTTCTTCATTTTTATCATTATGTACTACTTTTTTTTATTTTTTAGAGTAAAAGTCTATTTTGTCTAATTTTTAAAAATATATTTTTTTATTAATTTCAGAGAGGAAGTGAGAGGGAGAGATAGAAACATTAGTGATGAGAGACAATCATTGATCGGCTGCCTCTTGCATGCCCCCACACTGGAGATCAAGCCAGCAACCCTGGCATGTGCCCTTGACCGGAATCGAACCTGGGACCCTTCAGTCCGCAGGCCGGCGCTCTATCCACTGAGCCAAACTGGCCAGGGCTGGTGTCTTTTTAAAAATTCTCTTACCTAAAACTTTCTGAGTTATTTTAATATTTCTTATAAAAGCACTTATAAAAGCCGGATTTTTCTTTTTAATCCAGATTGAGAATCTATATTGTAATAGGCAGGTTGTATCTGTCTACATTTACTGTGATCACTGATGCTTTTTATTGTATTTTTGTTGCATATTTGTGATTTTTCTTTGTTTCCCCCTCCCCCACTCCTTCTTCCTTATCTTGTATTAACCAGCATGGGCCTTCTTCGGTCCCCTTTTCCCTCTAGAGCTTTGGAAATGGAATATTGTGTATCTGGTCCCTTCGTGCCATGTCCACCCGTTCCTTCTTGCTCATTTTCCTACTCCCCACAGCACTACCTTTGCCTCAAAATGTCTGATAGTTTTCCCCAGTTCTTTTGTTCTGGCTTTAACCCCAGTTGAGCTCCTTAACCTGTTCCCCTGGGCCCCCCAAGGGTCTCCCCACCTTCCCTGCAGCGTCTGCCCTTTCTCGGCGGCTCTCACTTTGGCCGTGTCGGAGCGTGAGAGTGAGTCTCTGGTTCCTGGCTTTGCTTACGTGGAAATACCAGCCGCCGAGCTCAGCAAAACGTAATTGTGACGGATGCGGGCAATCACAGTGCCGCGCAGTGGGACCTGTTAGGGCTTTAGCTGGGCAGACGGGGCTGGCCCCGCGGCTGCCTGTCTGCCTGTGGCTGCTCGGCCTGACCTACTTCCAGGCCTTCTCAGAAGGCGGATGGAAACCTCGCAGGACATAGTCCTGCCCTGGAACCCAGCGGGAGGAACTTTCCATAACTTCCTGTTGAGGGTATTTGAGGGGTCAGACATCACATAAGGTCATCTTGTTTATGCTTGCAGTCTTCACCCTGGCATCCATCACAGGTTAATTATTGTTTTTTGAAATATACACTTATTTTTTTTTTAAATATATTTTATTGATTTTTTACAGAGAGGAAGGGAGAGAGATAGAGAGTTAGAAACATCGATGAGAGAGAAACATCGATCAGCTGCCTCCTGCACATCTCCCACTGGGGATGTGCCCGCAACCCAGGTACATGCCCTTGACCGGAATCGAACCTGAGACCTTTCGGTCCGCAGGCCGACGCTCTATCCACTGAGCCAAACCGGTTTCGGCGAAATATACACTTATTGATTTCAGAGAGGAAGGGAGAGAGAGAGAAACATCAATGATGAGAGAGAATCACGGATGAGCTGCCTCCTGCACGCCCCACACTGGGTACTGAGCCCGCAACCTGGGCATGTGCCCTTGACCGGAATCGAACCGTGATCTCCTGGTTCATAGGTCGACGCTCAACCACTGAGCCACACCGGCCGGGCTGTTCTAACCTATTCTTAGCAGGTGCCTTGATGTAGGACAAGGGGAGGTAAGAAGGAGAAGCCAGCAGTAGTCGCCCCGTCCCAGCCGGAACACCCGTGTGTGCTTGACCTTGACGCCCCTGCACCATGGTCGTCACCTCTGATGAATCTTTCCTCTGCTTTCAGCTCGGGGACCTGCTCCAGAAGTTACAGTTCGTCATGGCGTACGTGGCTCCTTGGCAGATGGCGTGGGGCTCGTCGTTCCACGTGTTTGCGCAGCTTTTTGCAGTCCCTCGTATCCTTTCCGCTGCTATTTTTACCCACATTTCCTGGATGTAAGCTTTTCTCTTTTTTTAATATATTTTTATTGATTTCAGACAGGAAGGGAGAGGGAGAGAGATAGAAACATCAACGGTGAGAGAGAATCATGGATTGGCTGCCTCCTGCACACCCCACACTGGGGATGAAGCCCCCAACCTGGGCATGTGCCCTGACCGGGAATCGAACCCTGACCTCCTGGTTCACAGGTCAACGCTCAACCCCTGAGCCACGCCAGCCGGGCAATCCATCTGATTTAATATTTCCTACATTTTTGTTTCCCAGGATGTGGTTCCGGGCTACTTGCACCGGGACCCCTGGGGGAGTTTGCTAAATAGACCCCTCAGCCTGGCACCTACGTTAATACCCCATCTCAGGGGTGCACCCTGGGATCCCCACCTTCGCAAGCCTCCCTGGCAAATCGTATCCCCCCGATGTGTGTGACCCAATCTAGGCCCTGGCAGCCCGTCGTTGGCTCGTGTTGAGGACGGCTTGGCTTCCTTTCACACGCACGTTTGTAAGGAGTCCCTGGGACCTGAACTCCGTGTGCAGAGATGGAATAGTACTTGGGGTCATCATTAAGTGATACCGTAGTCTAGATTTTTTTATTTTTAATTCTCGCCCGAGGATATTTTTTCCATTTTTGTTTCGTTTTGTTTTGTCTTCAGAGAGAGTGGAGGGAAGAGGAGTGGAGAAGAGAAACGTCGATGTGAGAGAGACACATCGATTGGTTGCTCCCGGTACGTGCCCTTGACGGAATGGAACTGAGTCCACAGGCCGATGCCCTAACCACTGATCAAACCAGCCAGGGCTATTCTAGATTTTTTTTTTTAATTTAAAATGCCCTCCTGCAGATTTATGTGTGAAAAAAACCTTTTCTAAGCAAACCACGAGCCGGCTCACAGTGCACATTGTTGTGTGTGTCTATTCTTAGACCGGCACTGAGATTTCTAAAGTTCCTCAAGGTTATTCGGCAGAACAAGCTACGGGGGGAAAGTGGCTAAAGTGTAAGCGTGTGCACGGCCCTTTCCTGGAACTGCAGTCGTTTTCGGCCAGTCTCCGTGCTTGGCTCCTAAAGCTCTCGCTCTGGTGACACCCCCGCTAGCCACGGTCACCTTCCCAGCCTCGATCGGCTGCCAGGGTGGAGCCCAGCGCCCTGCGAGCAGGATGTCATGGGATAGATGGTTCAGGAAACTGGACAGATAGGCCCTCCAGATGCAGCTCTCAGGCCCCTGCATGCCAGCCCTGGGTGCTGGAGTCATTTTGAAAAGTTCATTGTTGTATCCCTCTGTTAGGACCTGCGGGTCCATCCTGGCGCGGGGAGGGGGCTGGTTAGCTCCGTTGGGGAATTGAATTCGCTCTCGGGCCGGCAGGGCGCTGTTGGGTAAATTGCTTTTTCCAGTTCCGGCCTGTTTCCTCCCTCGGGAGCCTCTGTCAGTTTCCGAGCCGGTAAGCCCCAGGGAGAGACGAGACTGGTCGCCCCTGTAATACGTGTGGAGACCACGCAAGATCCTGGCCTGCGGATGAGTAGCCAGATGCAGCCGGACGATCTGTTAAGAGTGTATCTTAGGGTGGCTGCTTTCTACTCTTTTTGAGCTTCTACTGATTTTTTTTTTTAAGTATTAACGTTGATGCTGTCATTTTAAATGTACTGGGTCCAAGGCAGCTTTGAAAGGTGGTACCAGGGACCTGTTAGGTTGACCTCTTGGCTCTGTCGGTAGGACATAAAAAGGCTGCGTGTGGCCCGGCCGGCGTGGCTCAGTGGTTGAGCGTCGACCTGTGAACCAGGTCACAGTTCCATTCCCGGTCAGGGCACAGGCCCGGGTTGCAGACTCGATCCCCAGTGTGGGGTGTGCAGGCGGCAGCTGATCCATGATTCTCTCTCATCATTGATGTTTCTCTCTCTCCCTCTCCCTTCCTCTCTGAAATCAATAAAAATATATTAAAAAAAAAAAAGGAGGCTGCAGGTGCCCGCTGTCTCAGCCCCAGTTCCCTGTCACCCCTTAGCGACCACGGTCAAGTCTTACCTGCTTGCCCCGAGCGTGCGTGTCTCATTGGTCGTCCCTAAATGAAACCCCGCGGCCATCTTCCTTTCTGGGCGAGAAAATGGCTGGACTATAAATGGAACAGTGAAAAGACCACTTGCCTTAGCTCCCGGCTCCCAGACTCGGCCTTGCTCTTCTTCCAGACGTTGGCCACGTCCGTCTTCTCCACCCCGCTGAGCCCGTTCCTCGGGAGCGTCCTCTTCATCACGTCCTACGTCCGGCCAGTGAAGTTCTGGGAGAAGAACTACAAGTAAGACCCTGACGCTGCTGCGGGCTCGCTTCCTGCGCTTGGCGCTTCCTGGGGCCTCCTCTCCGCGCGGGCCCAGGCTCCTTGCTTTGCTCTGCTGGGGGGAGGGGGACGCGGCGGGGAGCAGGTGTCTCATGGGGGCCCCCAGTTCAGGGGCTCAGCCCAGGGGCTTCAGGCTCCTGACAGAACACAGCTTGCTGGAGCCGGCCCCGGTTCCCGGCCCAGAGTTCCCAGCCCAGGTCCCAGCTGTCACCATCGCCCTCCTGGGAAGGGTGAGGTCCCTGGCGATGGGCTTTGTTAAGGGCCACAGCCCTCGATGAGAAAACAGCGCGTGTATTACCGGCTTCCTGTTTGGAGATGTGGGTGGTATTGATGGATGACTGTATACTATTGCGTTTATGATTTTACAATCGGGCCTCAGGGCCACGTGTTCACGAGTCAAACAGTGCAGTCAGATAGCAGCCCCGAACCCTGTCCCCCCTGCGGTCCGGGAGGAGACAGCAAGCCCACTCGCTCTCTGGGCAGCAGCATGGACGCTCACGCCGTGGGGCAGTCGGGCAGAAACGCAGTCGCTGAGCTAGTTGGCACCTGTGAGTGGGGGGCCCCACATGTGCAGGGAAAGCGCTGAGAAGAGCTCAGACACCCCGGCCCTTCTCAGGGGTGTATGTGGGGGTCGGGGGGGGGCAGGGCCCTGGGCGCGCAGGCAGCTTAGCCGATGACCGCTCAGATCTCAGCACCTGCATCCCGCCGCCTCCTGGGGAGACAGCTTTCCCGTTAGCGCTGCGTTAGGTGTTGGAATTCCCCACGGAGTTTGGTAAATGACTTCCGTTGAGCTCAGTCCCACTTTAAAAATTGTTGATTCCGCTGCTGAAAATTCCATTTGTCCTAGGTCTTAAGGTGAAATTAAAATTCCATCTTGGGACTCCCTGTGTCGGCGTGGGATCTGGGCCTTCATTAGAGGGAGTTTGTTGTTTGCTTTGTTCCCTGCCCCCCGGGCTCTCTCATCTCCAAGGCTGATCTGAGGGTATTTCAAAGGCGACGTGAAGCGGGAATAGGACAGCGAGTTGGGGTTGGCGGCTGTCTGAGCAGAGGGGCTCGGGGACATGGGAAACTCAAGGCCTGCTGGCATTTTAGGGGCATCGGTGGGGTGGCACCGTCTGCACAGGCAGTTATTGGGGAGACGGTTGTTGGCGGGTCACCCCTCTGGGGTGAGTCTGTCCCTCACCTCATGGCTCTGAGAAGCAAGAGGCTGCCAAGGACTGGCCGGCTTATGGAAGCTGTGACTGCAGTGAGCGCTCATAACTGAAGAGGTTTAAACTGGTCCTGGCGGCCACTTGTTACCATGGCTACCGCCAATCCGTCTTCTCCTAAACTGGTGAGAGCTGTTTTGTGGTCCAACCCAAGAAAAGGCCTGTAAGGACATCCCCCCAACTCTTTTTATTTTTTAAATATATTTTTATGGATTTCAGAGAAGAAGGGAGAGGGAGAGATAGAAACATCAATGAGAGAGAGAATCATGGATCGGCTGCCTCCTGCACGCCCCCCACTGGGGATCGAGCCTGCAACCCGGGCAAGTGCTCTGACCGGGAATCGAACCGTGGCCTCCTGGTTTGTAGGTCGACACTCAACCACTGAGCCACACTGGCTGGGCTGCCCCCTAACTCTTGAAAGCAAGTGGCAGAGACGTTGAGCACTCGCCATGATCTCTGGAATCGTGGCAAAGAAAGGCGCTACGGGTGCACCGAGTTCTGAGACGGACACTCCGGTGGCAGTCCAGTGCCGGCTTCTGTTGGTTGGATCGGGCGCTCCACGCTGAGCAGGCACAAGGCGGGGCTCCCTAACCCTGAGAACTCCTCATCTCTTCCCTCCGCGTGTTTCCTGTACGTTTCCCTCCCTCTGTTCCCTGGGACCCCTCGCTGTGGCCTTGTCAAACTGGAGCCATCATCCTCACCTCCCGTGCGTTCCCCACCCGCACGGCCACGTCTGCAAACCAGCTCTCTGGCCTGCGGAGGTCTCACCGTGACTTCTCCCTGTTCTGTGGCCCCTACAGCACCAGGCGCGTGGATAACTCCAACACCAGGCTGGCCGCCCAGATGGAGAGGGACCCAGGTGAGATGTTTGTTCCCTTCCTTCTCTTCCATTCAAACGATGTCCTTTGTCCTGTGGGTGGAGCCCTTCGATCCAACCAGGGGATGAAGTACTTGCTCTTTGAAATGACCGCGGAGACCACGCGCGTCTTGGTCAATACGCCGACGTAAAGATAAAGCTGAGCAGACAGGCGG